GCCCATGCTGTAGAGGCGAATGAGTCTTAAGCAGTAGTGTGGCCCTTAGGCTTCGGGGAGCGACTCGTAGTCAACTCCTAGGCTTTGCCCATACCGAAAAGGCGACTGGGTCTTAAGCAGCAATGTTGCCCATGCCGTAGAGGCGACTGGGTCTTTCAGCAGTATTGTGGCCCTTAGGCTTTGGAAGTGACTCGTAGTCCACTCCTGGACTTTGCACATGCCAAAGAGGCGACTAGGTCTTATGTGATGCCGAGGTCTTTGCCAGTTCGGCACTTTAGCCCTTAGGCTCTGGGAGTGAATCGAAGTCCACTCCTAAACTTTGCCCATTCCGAAGAGGCGACTAGGACTTATGCAGTGCCGAGGTCTTTGTCGTCGTGTCTCCTCCTCTTCTCTACTGGAGCTCCGGATTTTTTATTCATTTCCTCCTCGGTCTCGATGAATTGGTCAGCGAGCTTGAGGAATGCGGTGATGTCCTTAGGCTTGCTCGCTACCACGTGCCACTTGAACTCCCGGTGAGTGACTCATCCTTTGGCCGCGGTGAGTCTAACGGCGGGGTCCAAGTTCGGGATCGAGAGGCAGGTGTCGTTGAAGCGCTTGATGTAGCTCCGGATGCACTCTCCCTCTTTCTGGATGATGCTGAGAAGGCTTTCCTGCAACCTTGGACACTTCTTGCTAGTGATGAAGTGCGAGGTGAACGCTTGCACGAACTGCGCCCAGCTCCGGATTGCCCCGGATGGGAGATTTCTATACCAGGTGCGCGCTACTCCTCTGAAGGTCGTGGAGAAGGCGATGCACATGCAGGCTTCGCTAGCTCCGGCAAGGTGCATCTGGGACTGAAAGGAGTCCACATGGTCATTCGGATCGAACGACCCATCGTACTTGTCCAGAGGGGGAATTTTAAAGCCTTTTGGCATGGGATCCATTAGGAGGTCAGGAGAGAGGGGAGATGGTACGTAAAGGAGGGTGCAACCTTCGTGACCCCCGGGTCCGCTCCCGCCTTACCTTCGGGCTGCTTGGGTTGGTCAAGCTCTGCGAGCTGTTCAAGGATTAGTGCACAGCGGGCTTTGGGACGCCGCCTCCGCTGCCTTTTGGCTGAGTTCGCGCTAGTGCTAGTTGTTTCGGTGTTGTCGGGTTGGGCCTTGGCCTGGTGAGAGTCTGACTGGAACTGACTTTTGCGAGTTGAAGGACTTCGCCCAGAGTTTGTCGCCAGGACTTCGAACCGATTGCCCGCCAGCGAGGCTTCCGG